ATGAAAGACCCCAATCTATCATTTTAATGGTTTAATATGGAAGTAAAATAAGTAATTTATTCACAAAAACTGATGTGCTGAAATGGAGCCAGTGGTAAATACAAGTTATGATTATCAGAGCCAGAATATATGCAGACAAGCTGATTAAACACGAAAGCTCTGTTCAACGCCTTCACGGTTACTTTTTTCTCCATGTAGTTTACATGTAGCGACTTTCTCTACCGCAAAGGCGATGATAAACGATATTCTCCACGATGCTGATGTACAGATCAAACATCTGAGGAAGAGATATAGTGCTCTTGGTTGCTTAGTTTCCTTAACTTTATATCATTGTGTGACGCTGTGTGCTGTATTACAAGTAGTGGTCGACCGATATATCGGCCGATATTGGGCATTTTTTCAAATATCGGCATTGCCCGATAAGCTTTTCTGCTTGGCTGATGTGTTCGAGGCAGGACTTTTATTTTGACAGCGCGAAACTCTCCAGTTGATCCCACAAACGCCGATCTCTATCGTTAGTTAGATCTGACACTTCTGCATGAGCTCTCAACTAATGATTCACCGGAGCTTCGCAAGGACCGCCTCCCTCATTTCCATGTTGCACACGGAAAAGTAAAAAGACATAAATTAATTTAAAAAACTGAAATAAACACGTGGGAATAAATAAATATAAAAAATAAATAAATGCGTGAATAAATACATTTATAAATAAATACATAAATAAATGAGCGAATAAGTAAATGCAATTTTCAAAGAATAAAAATAAAAGTAAAAATAAATGCATAAAATAATATAATACATAAAGGGAAAAAAAGTAATAAAAAATAAAATCAGAGTAAAATTTTATTATAAATGACATGAAAAAGTCATTTATCTTTATTTATTTTCCTGCTATTTTATCTATCTATCTATCTATCTATTTATTTTTAATTTCTGCAGGTTTGGTCCTCCATACAGTACACTTACATCTCTCACTGATAGTTCCAGTTGTGCTGGGTTATACCCTACTCTGAAGTAGGAGTTAATTTAGTTCCCCCAAACGGCATTCGTACAGCTAAATTCGTTCCCAGTTCCTGCGGTGTGAACACACCAAAGAGTAGGAATTAGTTCCAGCAAACTATGAAAAGGTTCCTCTGGTGCGAAAGCTCCTACTGTATGTTTCTGATTCTGTAAGAAGAATCGGCTTATAAGAGTCATTTTTTCAGGAATCAGTTAGACTAACGTAACTCTAGTTGCAATGTTTATTTTTGATTCCGTAAAAATAAAACGCACATAAGAGTCATTTGCTCAGGAGTCAGTTGGACTACACTGTTCATTAAAATCTAAAGATGTACAGATGCAAAAAAGTCTAATGCAAATGCACAAGCTAAAAGCTGCAAAAAGTGCAGCATGCAGGACTCTTAAAAGCTGCCTCTGGTCCTACAGCAGGACACGTCATTAGATAAAATGCATTTAAAGGTCTTCTAGTTTCTTAGCAACCACAAAACCTTTGGCAATAGAAGAAAGGTAGGGTCTCTCTGACTGACAGGGATATAAAATACTTTGCCACGTGTATTGCATAATTAACCATTACGCAATTAACAAGCCTTTCATAGTGTTGATACATTTATATAAGCATTTGTGTGTGTCGGTACTTCAGGAAGTATGCACTTCACTGCTTTGAATTCTCGACATTTTGTTCCCGTTACAGCACTGGATAAATTATACAATTTGAGAAATAATCATTTCCCCTCTCAATTGCACATCAACACATTTACGCATCAAAAAACTATTTGCATGCTGGCCTAGCAGCATGTACTGACACATTGAGCCATGGTGGGCGACACTTTTTCGAACCCATTCCCCTATCATTTGCGGTCTTTATTCATTCCTCCAATACAGTAATAGACCAAATGCTGGAAAACATGTATTTCCTTTTTTTCTTCATAGTTGAACTTTATAGTTCTTTATAGCTTTCTGTCAAGTGTTTTGGGTCAAATCTTTTGATTTGCCTGTATTTGGGCTTCATCCATTTGGCTCTTGAAGGCAACTAGTTTTCAATTTCTCCCTCTAAAGAGCAACCCCAGGGCATGAATCTGTTTCACATGCATAATGGTAGGAAACAAAAAAATATAACAGTAATGCATGTAAATGCAACTTAATATTAAATAACTATCACCCTGGAAAAGGTTAAGAAATGTGCAATTGCAAGTTATAAAGTCAGAATTGCCTGATATAGCCTAAACTTAAAGTTGTGAGAGTTATAAAGTCAGAATTGTGAGAAGAAAAAAAAACTCACAATTGTAAGAAAATTTCAGAATTGTGAGCTGAATTCTTTTCCTCAGAATGGGACTTTATAACTCACAATTGCGAGTTTACATTAGAGCCCGACCGATATGGGTTTTTTGGGACCGATACCAATACCGATATTAGGGAGTAAAAAAGGCAGATATCGATATATTGGCCGATATTCTTTGTGTATATTATAGTGCAGTACCAGTCAAAAGTTTGGACACTTTCCCATTCGTGTCCAAACATTTGACTGGTACTATATATAGAATACAGTATATACATAAACAGAATATATATACACAAACACATTTTTTGCAATGATCACTCAAATGTGGTGATCAAACACTTATAATGACGTGACAGAGATACGTAATGGAGGCAGGGCATTTAACAATTAACTTTATTATCCAAAATGAGTCTGACATCAGTGCACTGAACAGTGAAGATGAAGTTTATTCAGATTTAATTCAATTCAATTCCATTCAACTTTATTCAGTTGAAGTTTATTTCACTTCGGAACATTAATTCACGGATTTGCGCTACAGTCTTCACACACAGACGAAACTTACTAGAGAAGTGTGAAGTGTGACATAATATACCTCTGTAAATAAATACAATATAAATTCACGTCTCGCGCACTTTAATGCCCTTTGAATGTACCGTGTACGTTCCCTTGGAACTGGAATCATGGCGGAATTTCATGTGAAGTCCACTTCGCAGGGCACTTACGGTCAAATAAGACCACGCTTGAATGCTGCTGCCTGAACAAGAGACCTCCTTACTGAAGTGAAAGTGTTGACTGGTGTCACTATCTCGATTCGCGTTCCTCGAGCTGAAGGGATCCCCTGAATTTGGTGCGGATTCGCCGCACCGTTACGGAGATATGGCCGTTCAAAGTTTCAATGGTTTTCCATAGACTAAGCTTTAAAGCATTTCATCCAGGTCGCCAGTAGCAAATAATGGAGCGCGCTCTGCTGGACAAACTAAGTAATTACACCATTTCAAGCATTTTTGTCTGCGTTATATGTTCCGTAAAAAAAATTTTCATGGGCGACAGGCTCATATCGGCCTATAATATCAGCAAAACGATATATCGGTTGGGCTCTAGTTTATATATCACAATTCTGAGAAAAAAAATATCAGAATTGCGTTATGTTAACTTGCAATTACGATATAAACTCGCAATTGTGAGAAAAAAAGTCAGAATTTATACCTCAATTCTCAGAAACAAGCTTTCATAATAAGGTGGCAACAATGACCCGGGCCATAGTTTGACAGTCGAGGAAGAAACAAAACAACATCAACAAACAATTTGAGATGATTTCTTGACATATCGAGTCCCCCCTCGAAACTATGTCTCCATCAGCTGTCATTGAACATTTATACAAAGTACAATCAAAAAATTATTAATTTAAAGCATAATTTTATTATATTTAGTGCATAATAAAACAAATGGGATGTAATGTAATTTCTTTCACTTAATAACTTAAAAATAATTTTTTATACCTAAAATATTTGGACATTTAACACTTAATTTAATAATTACATTATAGGGATAATTCACCCCAAAATTAAAATTAAAGGGATAGTTCACCCAAAAACGAAAATTAGTCCATTATTTACTCACCCTCAAGCCATCCTAGGCCTTCTTTCAGATGAATCCAATCGGAGTTATATTAAAAATTTACTTTGATCTTCCAAGCTGTTTAACGGCTGTCAGCGGGTGTTGCAGTTCATCGGTCCAAAAGAAGTGAAATAAAGCGCATCCATCCATAATAAAAAGTGCCTCAAATGGCTCCGGGGGTGAACAAAGGCCTCCTGTAGCGAATCGATGCACTTTTGTAAGACAAAAATCCATATTCAAAATGTAATCATCACTTTAATCTAGTTTGCGCCAACAGTTGTACACGGAAGCAGCTCCGGGAGGATGACGTAAGATGTTGGCATTGCGCACGCTCCAGTGAGTCTCGTGAAAACCAACGTTTGCTTACAGGAGCAAAGGAAGCAAAGTTTCCTTACTTTAACAAAGGAAAACCTGTCTCCTCTTGGCTTATATCGAAATCCTCCGACATTCTTCTTTACAAATCCTCGTTTTGTACTTCTAATTCGTGACAGTTGTTTTGTTTTGATCTCTCCCCTGCGCTTCCGCATTCGTCACTTCTGAGTGGCGCATGTGCAACACCGACATCCTACGTCATCCGTTCTGGAGTGGCTCCCATGTACAACAGTGAGCGCAAGCTCGATTAAATTGATTATTACGTTTTAAATATGGTTATTTTTCTTACAAAAACGCATCGATTCTCTACAGGAGGCCTTTGTTCACCCCCGGAGCTGTGTGAGACACTTTTTATTATGCGCTTTATTTCACTTCTTTTGGACTGAGGCACTGCAACACCCGCTGACTGCCATTAAACAGCTTGGAAGATCAAAGAAAATCTTTAATATAACTCTGACTGGATTCGTCTGAAAGAAGAAAGTCATATACACCTAGGATGCCTTGAGGGGGAGTAATTCATGGGCTAATTTTAATTTTTGGGTAAACTAACCCTTTAAGTCACCATTTACTCACCCTTGTGTTGTTCTAATTGCTCACCATTTTGAATATGAATCACGAGGATCAGTTAGCCTTCAGTTAAATGAATTAGGATACATTCAGCCATGTAGTTATGGAAATATTTACGTATTGGAATGCTCCAAAAAGATGAAGATGCAGGTAAATTTATAAGCACCTTCGTGTTCCCTCGTCTTCGTCGTTTGCTTGCTTTGTCACTTTTGGTGTCACTTTTGGGGTGAATTCGCTTGACCAACTAGAACACAAGGGAAATTTTAGTGAGGAACTTTTACACCCTCCCACGAAACTCTAATGAATGATCTTCGCAGATAGATTGTAGCAGATATATCAGGTTTTAAATTTATTATGGCAGTTTTCTACTTCTGAACCTTCCTTGCCAACGTTTTTGCATTTGTCAACATATAACCACTTCATATCAATGTTCAGCAGACAGCATGCTGGCCTTCATAACAGTAGAATACAATTAATCTTCTGTTTCAGGGATATTTATTGGTGCAACCAAACAAGGATTTGAAATGAATCTTCCATTTCTGTTCCACACCACAGCACTCAGAGACATGTATGCAACACTCAAGGCCAACAAACTATTTTAAACATGTAGTTGCGGCTTTCCATATGATATACATTAAATGCTATTACGAGGCCCAACCACATTTAATGAATTATGTTCCACTACAGAACAAGCAGCTCAGCATTCACAGTTAATTAACCAACAAATGTAAATTACACTTAAACACTTAAGTTTGCCACTGACCACATATTTAAATCTCTGTGAGCCCTAAGTGCCCTTCACATTAAGTTTGGGTAAATACATGAGAAAAATCATTATAATGCAACATAGCACTTTATACTAAAAAGCAAAAAATCATACTGTCTGTACCCCATCTATGCCACTTTGCAGTATGCTGAACTAGTAACCAAGCAGTTTTTTTTTTTTCAATCAAGCTTTAATGGACAATGAAAGGGTGTCATACTAGAACTGATGGAATTAGCTTGCGGTCTGAGAGCTGCAGTTAACTGAGCATCATTGGGCATGCTAGATTAAACCTGCTGTGTTATGCAATCTGTGCCAACCACAGAGAAAGGAGTTTATCATAGGGCATGATGACAGCACATCAGTCTCTGCTGATGCAGTCAGTGTGCATGTTTTACAGTAGCACATGCATTTCATAACTCTATCACCATGTCCTAACCAGCTGCAGAAGCGACACTACACATAGCAGCGTTGCACCAGGTAGCCCCACCCAAACGGAAAACTTTTGCTCCTCATGCATATTGCCTGTGCAAAAGTCACTGCTACAATGCACGGGTGTAGTAGGAGGTTGCTATGAAATGGATGAATTTTCATTTTTGAGTGAGCTATGACAGGGTCCAATGCTGCTCCCAAACCAAAAAACACACTTGAATCAGTTAATCAAGGTCTTCGGGATCACTCGAAAGTTCCAGGCAGGTGTGTTGGTGTCATTTAAAGCAAAACTCTGCAGGAAGGTGGCCCTCCAAAAGCAGTACAGCCCTTTCCAAAGGAGCTCCAGTCATTCCTTCAATTTTTCCCTTCCCGTTTTATTGTCTCCTGGACAAAAATGTAAGTCTGATTGCATAGAAAAGTACTAGCACACCTCTGCTCAACAAGCCGCATGATTTGAGGTATGATTCATGTCTGTTGCACAAATGTGCGGCACAAGTTACATACTCAAGTTTAATACTTAAGGTTAGCGGTTCCTTCAAATCCCTGACCCTAAGCAATAAAACCAGTGATGATTAGGAAGCACCCTGGCATCTTCAAATGCAGATTTGCCAATATCAAGACTTAAAAGAGTTGATCGATCAAGTAACTCGAAACAGGAACCGCCCCTGCTGCTAAACGGGCCAGTGTAGCATCTGCATGGCGCTCAGCATCCCAAAACTGTGACCTGATTTGGTTTCATGCAGTCCGTGCTGAGAGAGCCACATACTCTGCCATCTGCAGTCCTCCAGACCCCCTGTGCTGCAGTTGTGGAGGATACAGCTTACATAATGAGCATCAAATCCCAGCACAGTTGACTGCAGCCAGAACTGCGATACCAGCCCATTAAGTTTTCCGGCACTGCACCAGAACTTGTGCACAGTGACAGATAGGGTGTATACACCTGGGGAGACAATTTCTCAACTCAGGGAACACACGGAGTGCAGATACAAGAGTCCAATTCCACTTTTGCAGGATGCTCGACAGAACCGGGTAGTCAGCAAGTTTCATGCACGCATGCATCAGAGAGGTCTACAAGGATCTAACACAGGATCCTGCAAACCCATCCCACTTACTCGGTGCAAACATGCATCCCACAATGGCCTGACACTCCCCAGAGTCCCAAAGGACTGATCTAACCCGAACCTTGCCCGATCACATCAGCTGTCTGATTAAAATTGAATCAAGGCATCAATAAGTCAGCAGTGCCACCTCAGCCTTCACTCTTTCCTCACACACACACTCACTTGCACCTCAGACCGCTGGCGAGTTTCACCACGGCAGTGTTGAGTGAAACGATCCAGTCCAGGAGCCACATGGCAGAGGAGGACAGCGCGGGGCAGGACGGTACAGTGCGAGCCACAATTGAACCGCAGATGAGATTTTCTTTCTATCTCCCAAAGTGTGCCTGCCTGCTCTCTGCTCGCCTCAACACTACTGATCCGACACTACTGAGCTGGAAAACAAGGCAGCGCAGGAGGGAGGGGAAGGGCAAGAGAAAGAAGAGCAGAGGAGGAGGGTGATAAGTGAGTGAAAACTAACACGGTGTGGCGCAAACGCACAGCAGGAGGAGAGGGCACGATGACATCCTTTGAATAGTCATATACCCCACCTCTCTTCGGCAGAAGAGCCGGGCTGAACGTTCTGTCGGTCTGACATGTCTTATTTCAAGGACATAAGCAGACCCCAGAGGCCATGTTCCCCTCTGTTTGTGTTTCACCTGAGCGTTCAGTAGATGAAAGAGTGAGTGTGTGTGTGTGAGAGGGAAAGAGAGAATAAAACGCATCTGGCTTGATGGCTGTCACAAAGTACTGTTATGTAACTGCTCTCTTCAGGTCAGACGTGTGGCCATCCAGTATTTAAGAGAGGAACACACACACACACACTATGAAGGTCTTCATAATTGACATGATCCATCATTTAGGCTAGTCCCAGAATTTTCGGGTGAATTTTAGGTTGTCGATGATCTACATTACATTTGGTTCTCTGATTCTTAAGAATTTGTTTATTTGACTTCTGTTTTAAGAGACAGATATATTGAAGATGTGACAGGAAAAATAAATCAAAAGTTGGGACAATGAGATTAACATATGTGGCAGGCCAGACTCAAACCTGCATAACCCACAGAACATCACTACTTCCCACTGACCTTCAATGCAAAGACAACAGCAACAAAAACAAAATATCTTCATTTAAGTTCTTAAGAAGCACAAAAGTCATACAAGTTTGGAATAACGTGAGGGTGAGTAAATCATGACAATTTTCTATTTTTTAACTAACCTAACAGATCAAAATAAAACACTAAACAGTCAAATTCTGATATGCATTATCACATTCTGATCCAAACATATACTACTTACAATGAAACCATCCAGCACTGATACACAAATTAGCCTCGAATCCAAGGTGAAGCTGCATGCAAAAGAACACTCTAAATAATATATTATCATGTTTCCCAACTCTTTTAGTCCAATACACCCTCCCATCCATCTGTAAGGCTCAAGGACTCCATCTACACAAACTAAAATGATGATGGTTTAATTTTAAACTAAAAACAATCAATACTGGAAGTGACTTTATAGTCTATATATTTAAGCATGTTCAGCGTGCGAGCTACAACAACAACATCCACACAATTCGACAAAAACAGACATAATATTTTTAGTGATTGACCAAAATGATTTTATTTTATTTTTTTAATTGAAACAAAAATTTAAAAAATTAATGTTATTTAACAATCAATTAATTAATCAAATTTATTTAAGGGAACAGTTAATTTAAATGTGAAACTTTGCTATACAATTTACGCATTTTAAGTTTAAAACAATTTAAGTAATCCAAGATGTAGATTGGTGAGCAAGTGATGTAATGCTAAATTTCTCCAAATCTGTTCCAATGAAGAAAAACTCATCGTCATCTTGGATGACCTGAGAGTGAGTAAATATTCAACACATTTTTATTTTCGAGTGAACTACTCCTTTATCAAACAAAACACTCAAATGAAGAATTATTTAAATTGCACATAAGCCAGTTTTTAAGCCTGTTACACCAAATTAAAGGGTGTCAAAACTACATTTATTGTTTGAACTTCAGAATAAAATTGACAGAATTTAAGCTGAGTTTCATATCAAAAACCAACAAAACACAAAGCCTATTTCAATTAATGGATGGGAGGTGTGCTACAAATACGGTTTAGTGACGTTTTGATGAAGAATCAGCAAAGACTAAACGATTTAAGAATTGATACTGGTTCATCAGAACAAAGACTGCTTAAAATCAAGAAATCAGTATTTCCAATCATCATTGCCAATCCAGTGTCCACACAGCCGACATGTGCTGTATCTTATCCACGATGTTTGCACGACACAGTCAAAATGTGCCTTCTGAGAAGAACTCATTAAACATCACTGTTATAGTCAGTGATCTCAGCCCTCAAAAAACGGTTGGCCCAAAAACGAAAACTTGTTTTCTGATGTTTCAGAGGCTGGGGGAGAGACTGTAAATGGGCCTAATTACAACATATTGAAAGCTGCCAGTTTTGTGACAAGCCATTTTGACACAAAAGCAGCTTATTCAGCATACAGAAGCAACTTTTCCATTGACTGCCATTCAAACAGAACAGCCTCTTGTAACCTTGTTGTGAACTTTATGCATTCTGCTTTTTTTAAGCTAAGAGTGAGCGCTTTGAATTGAGCAGTTTTGAAATTCCAGGCATGTTTAGATCTCTTAATAAGGTTCAATGGAGATGGGTTTTTGTTTGTTTAGTTTTTTTGGAGATAAGCAATGATCTCTCCATAGAGCACACTATTATAACTGTTTCCACCATTGTAGCACTCCCTATACACTGATGTTTCTGAATCATGTTCAGACCTCTTTTCACAACTTTATCCCAAAAAATAATTGGAATCCACACTCAAATTTACTCACTTTTTGCCAGGTTTCTTGGTTTTGGTCCTTTTCTTCCTCGCCTGAAGTGCAAGTACTGTCAGAAAACAGATAACAGAGTTTAAACCGTTTTATTTGGGCACTTCTCATAAATTATAGAACCATAGAAAAAAGGTTTTGTAAATCATTACATTGTTTGGATCATAAGAAACGAATGGCGGGGGGGAAAAATTATTTTTGTTTTTTATTAATATTTTATTATATTTCCTATGTAGAGGACACTAGGACTCAGTAAATATGAAAATGTAAACAAGACTCTATAACCAAAGATGTGCCTAAATCAAGAGCTGGTGATTGGCTCTGATGAGACATCAAGGAAAAACACTAGTTCACGCCGGATCTGCTCAGAGACGTGGCTCACACGTGAGGCTGTATTGTATAAGCATCCAAACCCTCATGTAAGATGTAAGGCTACGTTTACACTAGAACGATCCTCGTCAATACTTGTGTTTCCTCTGTGTTTCAGAAAAGATCTCAGTCCACACCACACGACTGATAACGCATGTTACGTGACCATTCATGAACGCTGTAGCATCATGCTACATAAGACAATTTATAAGATTTATAATATGTTTTTAATCAAAACTCACTTTAAACCACCATTGAGTGTTTGTAATAACTTCCGATTGCGATCTAATGTGTGTTTTGGCCATATAATGTTGCTGAAATATGCTATTTGTAGCCTTTTATATAGGACAAAAAAAGTCATATCACAATTTTTTTTTTTTTTTAGGAAAATCACAATTTTATCACGATTCTTTATAATGTTGGTTTTACTATTTTGCAAGTTGTCTGAGCAGTACAGCCAAAGTAATTTCCCTATTTTAAAAACAAAGCCTTACAAGGTAACAAAATAAGAAAAAAAAGAACGGCAGCCAAAGTGGGCAAAGATAAAAGTCTTTGTCGTTATTTTAAATAAGAACAAAGATACACATTACAAATACACATAATATACAAATATATACAGGTACAGTGGGTGTATTTAGCAGTACCATTCAAGAAATTGAATGAACAAATACCAAAATAAAACACTGTATAAATTAGTGTTGGGCGATATGGTCATTTTTCAAATCGTCATATTGCCAGCCCGTGAGATCGCGATACACGATATTATTGTGCATGCGTGTGTGTGCAAGAGAGAGACTCACTGTACTTATCATAAGCTATTTCATAACTATGTGGTGTTTTAAACCGCGCAGGTGGCACCAATAATCGAAATAATATACTTTCAAACATAGGATATTGATAAACTAACATGTTAAATATAAACATTTAAAACCGCTATTTCATATATATTCGGATACAACAGTCATATATCGCTATTAGGACCGCACGTCCTGTGACAAGTTTGCCTCATCAGAGCATGGAAGTTATCAGTATAAAAGGTCTGCAGTCAACGGTGAACATCAAAAGTAAATTTATTTTAAAGACCAACAGTTTAACACTAAATATTGGACATAAACGAACACGTTAAATATAAAAGTACTTAAAACAGGTAAGTTCATATATTTGGAGTAAATTAAATTGAATGGATACAGCATGTGTGAAATGTGGTGCTGAAGGGAAATAGTGGGGCAATTTGATAATAATAGCCGAATTATAATAGGCTGCCTAATAATAATAATAATAATTTAATACATTTATAGGAGAATGAGCCTATATCATCCTGACTATCGACAAAGACATTTGCGATCGTCGATACATGATACTATCATCTATCGGCACAAGCCTAGTATAAATTATACATTTATTCTTATTAAAGCAACTGTATTAAAGTTCTTCAGTCAAGAGCAGTGAGTGATTTTTCTCTTTGTGTTTTATTGTTTTATTAACATTAAAGGCATAGTTCACCCAAAAATTCTGTCATCATTAAGTCACTCTCAAGGTTGTTTTAAACCTGAATGAGTTTCTTTCTTCTGTTGAATGTAAAAGTTATTTTAAAGAAAGTGGGTCCCCCCAGCAGGGGCACAGCTGCACATTTGATGAAGGGTATGCAAGATCAGTGTTGGCGCCCCCTGTATTCTAGCCCCTGACACTAACTCCCGCAGAAAACTTTCTGCAAGTCAATGACCAAAAGCCCATTAACTAGCTTGTGCATGGAAGGATACAAACTCATCAGGGGTGAAAAAAGTGACAAAGGTTCGAACCCCCTCCCCCATTTTCAATACCATAGGAAAAAGAAAAAAAAGAAAAGTGTTGTATAACATCCCCTTTAAAGGGGTCATATGATGTTGCTAAAAGAACATTATTTTATGTATTTGGTGTAATTAAATGTTTATGCGGTTTACGGTTCAAAAAACACATTATTTTCCACATACTGTACATTATTGTTTCTCCTCTATGCCCCGCCTTTCTGAAATGCGCAGATATTTACAAAAATCATCGTTCTGAAAGCGAGGTGTGCTCTGATTGGCCAGCTATCCAGTGCGTTGTGATTGGCCGAATACCTCAAGCGTGTGACGGAAATGTTACGCCCCTCACCATATTGTGATGCTGTGTGACAACGAGACAAAACCAATAAAACCCATTATAATCTAGGCATTTGTTGCATCCAGTGGGGACATAATTACTGATTATAATGATTTATACCGTCTTTACACACGTTGCATCGCGCCGCGTAAACATAAAACCATGTCTGCATTTGTGATAAGAGAAATGACAAACAACAAGTGCTACTCTACACTGCCCAAAACTCATGTTTGAATCGTCAGTGGCAAATCCTTTAAATATGAAAACGTACTTACAGACTGAGTCAGAACAGCCGGCATTGTAGTCTACTCTACCAGGATCAGGAAACAGTCCTCCATAAAATGTGCTGCACACATCTGAATATTTGGGTTGAAGTGTTCTGGAACAGTGTTGTAAATACAACTTAACCACTGATTTCTAGTCGTGTCCTCATTTGGAAGGCCAAACAAAGTATTTTCGCTTTCACAACGAAACACACAGCGTCTTCACAACATGGCGGCGGCAGTGGCAGCAACAATAAAGTTACGTCTTCTTTCTTTGCGTGAACATTTGGGTGGCATTATGCAAATCTTCTCACACAGTGACGTAGACATATGGGGGCGTGTTTAAATTAGGCATTTTAGGAGGGACTTAACTTTTATAAAGAATATCTCTTTGGGTTTGAGACTTTAGTCTTAGCAACTTTAGGGATCTTATCAATTCATTAACAGCTTGTACACTCCAAAGAGAAAGGAAAACTTGAAATCGCATCATATGACCCTTTTAACTCCAGATGGTTGACCCGACAGTAGAACACTTCTGTTTAAATAATTTTTTTTCAAACGGCTGTAATATTGTGTAGCGTCTGGACCAATCAGACACACCATTTTTCATTTGATTTAAAAAATCAATTATTCATTAGATTAACAAACATTCACAGACCCCTCACCCAATAAACATACTGGGTGCCAAGATGTCTGTGAACGAGGCCCAGGACCCTGGTTACCATGGCAACCCTGACACCTTTGCTAGACCAGATAGATTTTACGACCTAATGGCATGTTGAGAGTTCTCCCTCTCACTACATTTTCCATAGGAAAGACACATAATGCACAGCAAAATGGACTCTTCTATAGTCCAGAAACCTTTCTGTGAATGAACACACATATCCTTCAAGTCATTGTGTATATTGCTGTCTTGTATATTGTCTGTTGCATTGTAGACTATTTTATGCATGCTTATGATATAACCACTCATTCATGTAACCTTACATATACCATGTTTGGTCTCTATGAATTCGTATTTGGATTATCTAATTGAGAGTGTATATTATATGTTTATACCTATGCAACATATTGGTGTTCTAAGAACATTTAGTAATATTTCATCATGCCCCCACTCGAGTTCCATTTGCAAATTACCATGCCCTCACACAAAGGGTCATAAAACCCTCCAGTAATGGCAACCTCCCACTTGGGATTTCAGCCTTTCTCATTGGACAAGCCCATCTTGAGAGGCGTGAATCTTCTCGGACCTTAAAGGCCTCACATCAGTGACCCGCCGCAGTCGGTGGTTCTGTTAGGTTTTGAGATGATGTGAGCTACAACGCTCCAGGACACCCTAAGTTCGTGCCAGGCTTCGGCCTTGACTTTTCCTTTCCCCGAGATTCTCTGACTCAAACTGGTTCTTTTTCATCAACCAACTTCAGCAAAGATCAACTTGAACCTTCAGATTGCATCAAACCTCTCTTTCAGACAGACGAGACGTGCAAGTATTCAAACTTAGTTGTATTAATTGATATATTAAGTATCATGGGTACCTTGTTACAAAGGTGTGTTTGAACTAAGAATCTGATGTTTCCTTCAGGCTGTAAATCTGCTGAATATCAAATGGTTCCATACTTTCACATTCTTATTTTTGTTCCTCTTTACTGCGTAAGCTTTAACCCTTTCCTATACCAACTGTATGCGTGTGTGTGTGTGTGTGTGTATGTTAGACCAGTTTAAGTGTTTATGTAATGGTTCCATACCTTCATTATTTCTCTCCTTTTTACTGCTTAAGCTTTAACCCTTTTCCTATGCCAACTGTATGCATGTGTGTGTGTGTGCGTGTGTATGTGTATGTTAGACTAGTTTAAGTGTTTATGTAGTACGTTGGACTAGTTTAAGTGTTTATGTAGTTAATAAAGTCTTCCTTGTATCACACTTGACGTTGTTCATTGTTTGCGCATAACTGGAGTCACTTAATCATGCAGATTTATGCTACAGGCTCTGTGTAGAAATGTACAGTAAGAAAGTTATTTCCCTTAACCAGGAAATTAACGTTCTTAGAATTGACAGACAGTTGACCCTAAGAGGTCAAGTAAATACTTACAGCGAATCTAAATATTTATAATTAATAACTAGTTATGATTAATTATTCATATTTCCCCGTGAGCTGATTCGCTACATTGCTCACTTTTTAGTAAGGTAATTTGAGGGGTTTTACAATATATAATTTTTTATTATCATTCATTTGCCTCAAAGTTATATATATTTTTTTACTTTTTTTATATAAAATGAGAACACTATGTAAAATTCACTTTAAAGA